TTCCCTTGATTAACTTCTCTTCATTACACATCTCTTAAGTTGTTGTACTTGTTTCTCTTTGCTGTAAGACCCCTTTGCCTTCACGTGCTTAGCAACAGTTGTTCTGAGTCACACACTTGAAGGTTTTGATTTTAATTATGGTGCAGTGATCATAAAAGGCATAGGCAGGCAGTCTCACAGATAGGCTAATCATGAACCTACACAGGAAATCAAGGTTCAGGCCTCTACCACTAAAGCCTCGGGGGTGATTTTGGTCGAAGCAGAACCGAGGTGCACTTGCTTTTATTCATGAGTGATCAAATCTACACTTGTCCTAGTGTAATTGCTGAAGAATTGATGCCTGTACTATTTACATAAGCAGAAATCCCTCTGAAGAAAATGGGTCTTAAAGTTGGAATATTTGTTTTGGTTCTGCAAACAGCACTTCATGAAAAATTCTATATCTAGAATGTCATGTGAATTTATGCCTATATTAACACAGCTGAGTTAGCTTTTTTACATGTGAACCAGCACTATCATTCTAGGAGGTAAGTGATGAAACGCAGAGGGCATCTGGTAGATCTATACTCAAAATATTGGAAGGAGTCTGTGAGGATGGCCCTTCGTAATCCTGACTAGCTGAGGGGAGGGGAGAAAAGAAAATACAACTATTCAGTCTTTACCAAAGAAACTTAAGGATTTTGTCCTAAACAGTTTTGGCAGTTCCCAGGAATTCGGTATAATGCCTTTTACCATTCTTTCTTGATGGTACAATCTGGCATACAACCAACATTTATAATTTAAATGGCACAAAAATTAGTTGCTTGATGTAGTACATTGTAATAACTTATTTACGTTCCAAAAATGCATTGCAACCACTAAAACATATTAGTAAAAGCTTGTTGCAAAGCTTGTTGGAGTCAATAGAAAGACTCTAGTTAAGTAAGCTTTAGGTCAGGTCTCTAGCCCACATACTAAAATTAATATAAAAATGCTTGTGCAATCACAGTCCTTCCTGTAGATATTAAACAATTTCACAGATTTGTTTTGGCAAAGCATAACTGATGTTGTCAGTAAACCACGCAATTTTCCAGCTTCCATTAAATCAGCAAGGGCTGGATGATTTCTAGAAGTACTTGAGCTGCTTAGAATCACGCCGTTTGAACTTAGAAGCTGGGGTTATAGTTTGTGTGCATCAGACCTCATTTGCACTACATCATTGACCAGGATCTTTCACACTGGCACTTACACGCAATGTACCTCAGCTCTTCCTCTAGCAAATCTATACTGAAACCTACAGGAGTTTGCGCAGTGGTTCTTGGTGCTTCATTTGACCTTTCTTGACCACTGAAGTTTAGTGTGTGTTAAAGAAGAAGAGTAAAGGATTTTTTAGCATGAGCTACTATAAGTTCTCTTTTTATATTTTTCAGATAGCATCAGTTTGAGCTTTCCAGTAATCCAGTACTTTTCTGAAAGTTTGAAAATTTTACTTGCCACCTTGCCCTTCTTAGTTTTCCCCACTTAAAATTAACTAGCATCAGTCCTGTTTGTACATAGTCATCTGGAAATAGAGTTTCTCCATCAGTCCCTAAGAACCGACGGGAGAGCACAGAGTGTGGGTGCCCTCAGCTCCACTGCCATGGAGCAGAGGTAGGTTAATTCAGTGGGGTCTGAATTAAAGTGACATTTTTCAGGTTCAGACACCCAAAGTGTAATTACTCATATGCATTGTTAGTTGCTTCAGCTGCAATTTATGAAAATGCAGCAGGTCTGGCGGGCAGGACACTTGCAGAACCTACACAGTACAGGTGTGTACCCCTACGGAGGATCTTGGCAGGACCCTCCTCCCTGCAGAGCACTTCATTCTTGATGTTTCACCCTTGAGAGTTTTCCACTCATGTTCCAGACAAACCTAGATACCTCTTCTGAATTGTAAGGCTTAATTCTGGCTGCCTGTATGCAAGGGCATGTGAAAGCATATAAAGGGATCATCCATGCCAGGGGATGGACACTGGGACTCCAGCACACTTTAAGTGATTAAATGCTCTTACATACTCATCTCACCACTCTCAAATAAAGCTCCCTCTTTGCACGACTCCCCTCTTGAGGTCTCCCAGAAACCTTGGCTGCTGGAAGCTGTGCCCAGACTGAGAGGGGAGTGTAAAAGGTGTTGCAAGAAAGAACTGGGAACACTTGTGGTGTTGGCTAGTTGAAATAAGTGGAGTTAGTCTGCCGAATGAGGAGGCTCTGCACAACTTAATAGATGTTCACAAGCTGTTTTGGTACTTCAGTCCTGGCTGCCGACTCTTGACGCCTTGGCAGACACGCGGGCAAATGTTTCACTGTGGGGCTGTGAACTTGCAGAGCACCGGTTACTTGGCATTCACTACTTCTGCACATGCTCTTTGTCCTGCCGTAACTGTGAGCTGGCTGGGGGTATGTTTGTACATGCAGATAGAGAGCTCCTGTCTGCAACTAGATTAAATTCATGCCCTGGTGCTTACTACCATCCTGTGCCTCAGCTCACTGTCTCCTCAGTTGTGCTGATACACTTGTTCCTGGCCTGTGCGTGTAAACCGGGTGACCAGACGGTCTTTGAGAAAGGTAATCCTCCAGAAGAAAGGGGTCAGGTTTACAGGATACTGCCAGGAGCTGTTGTCCTGATGCACGTGCAAGCGGCAGAATTGCAGCAGGGCAGCTGAACCATGTAGCCAGCAGTGGCAAGGCTTCAGCCACCTCTGCCATTAAGTTAATGCATTGCATATTTATTTAGTTACTGCAGCTTCAACTCCAGAGAACTTACTTGCTCATTGTTAGGACTCAGTCAGTGCACAGGTGCTTTCCTAAAGTGATATCAGTGTAAGCACCTTCCTCCATGGGGCTTCTGGGTCTGTGTAAAAACACTGCTCTCCTCCAGAATGTTAGGGAGGGAAAGATCAGGCACAACTGTTCACCTTGACAGGAGTGCTTATGCTGTCTATGGTGATATTTTTAATTAAGATTTAGTAGATTGGACAGAATAAATAGACTGAGGGGAATAATACAAGGGAGAGAAGAGAAAAAAATGCTTAAAACATCAGTAAACCTAGAATATTTATAAAAATAGCTTTATTCCACTGCAGAAATAATCTGGTTGTGAAGTTACGATCAGTTAACTGAGCACATCCTTGAGTTAAAATTCTGCCTTGTGCTGAAAAGCTAGGGAACATTTGAAACTGCACATTTATTATTCATGCATTCTCATTAGTCAGTCAAAGCTTCTGAAGTCAAGATGAATATTAAGGTCATAGCAAAAATGACTTTTATTACTGGTAAGAGGGTCATACAGCATTATGTCTTCATATTTGCAAGTTATTGCACCCTAGCTAGTATTTTCATTTCCGCCTTATGTTCATTTGCTTCGATTCCCTTTCAAAACTGTGTGCGCTGGTTATAATGTTAATGATGATAACTCAGACTAAAATTTTGAGCTGAAAAGCTTTACAGTGATATTTCAGAGTCATTATGAAAATCTAACTCGTCTTTAACATGTAGACCTAATTATGCATGGAATGATGTAATATTCCAGATCTAATGAAGTATGTGCAACCTTATAAATAGTGCACTTCTGCAGAGAGACAGAACTCAAAGGTTCTTCTGTGTAAGCTCATTAACACCACAGAGATGTCATAAGAGGGACCGAGAAAGCAGTTTTACGTACTGTTTGCACTTTATAGCCAAATTCTGCTCCATTTTTTAATCTTGCAAGTGGTCCCATTGACTTCATCCATGATTCGTGCATGGGAAGTCAGAAAAGCTGCCCTTCTTTTATTTAACCTTTCTTTGTGAATATTTTCAGTCTCTTCCATGACACAGAAATAGAAGAGTAATTAGGAAACATGACTATGCCCTTTTCTTTGTAGTCTTGCAGATACAGTGATGACAGAGAATAACCTTGTCCCCAGCAGTAATTACACTGACTGACTTTTTCCCTGCTTAGTTAAATGCTCTTGAGATTGTGCAAGCCACTACAATGCTTGGCACCAGCTAAACCAATTTCCTGTCCCCCTTGTTACGGTCACGTAATGTCAAGGAAGCAGCATTGCCGTGGCTCCCACTGGCAGTCTTCTAGAATACATTTCCATTTCCACTCCAATCTCTGTTCCCAGATTTCAGAGTTTATTTCAGTTTCTGCTGTGTCAGGCAAAATTAGCGGTGTTAAGAAATGTTATTTGTTAAATAAAAAAGTAAATCATTTATTAAAAATTGATATTCTGAAATATCAGTATATCTTTATCATTTGGGAAGCAAAAATAGAAGATTCTGAGTTCAGTCTGGTGGAAGGCATTTTGCTATGTAAAGTAAACAGAATTACCAACTTAGTTAAAAAATGATACCGTAATGTTCCTAAAAACACCATACTGCTGTTGGCTCTCTAGTTGCAGGGCAGAATTCACCAGGTGCTGTCACTTCAGTTATTTTTGTGTAGCCTAAAGAGAGTTGCAGGTTATGAGCCCAGACACCAGCTGCTTAAAATACATCCAATAATGTAGAAAAAATTGCTGAACAAGTATTCTTAGGTGCTGCCATGAGCTGCATGGGAGACTTTTGCTATTCAGTCACTCCTCTGACCTGCATATTAAGCAAACAGACCAGAGGAGAGTCAGGATCACCTCCACTTGACCGGCAGCTCACAGGGGTTGTACAGATATGACAAAAGTACTGCATGCCAAATTCACCTGGTTTTTGCCTATGTATTACCTAAATATTGGAGCAGTCAGACTGCGGCTAATGAAACGGTATAGATCAAGTCATCGCTCTACAAGGAATCATCGCTCCAGCCCATCCAAGAAGGGCCCCAGCTGAAAAGGCTGCTCTAGCAGGAGGGGAGAGCCTCGCTTGCCTCCTCGCGCTGTCTTACCCGGACAGAATAAGCCTTACGCTGCGCTTCCTGAGCAGCTGCAGGGAGAGGGCACAGCAGTGCTAGTCCCTTGCTCTGGCTACTCCGTGTGTCCTGGTGTCCTAGCAGGGGTGGACCTCAGGTACCTGTAGGCAGGTGCAACTTTATTTTAATCTGAGGAAACCAGGGTAAAAACCATTACAAAGCTTATGTCAAAAGGCAAAAAGATTTAAGATTAAAATAGTTTTAAAATAAAGCTAAAGAAACTTGTCCTAGCCATGCTAATATTCCATGGTGCTACAAAGGCAAACACGATATACCAGCACACAGTTCAATCAGCTCTTTCCCCTTCACTGAAGACTAGTTCTAATGGATCACTGTGCTATTGTATGGTTTGATTGTGCTGACAGTTACATGCCACTGTTCCCATAATAACAATTTTTCTTCTTTGTTCAAATGAAATTTTCTAATTACACGTGTGATGGGTTGTTTTAATTCTTTTCCCTTTCCAAATCCACCTTCCTGTTGCAATGCATGATGGGCAGGCTCAATATTGTGCATGACACCCGCTACAAGTGTTGGTAGGTGCCAGCTTTGTTTCTTGATTATCTTAAACCTGTGGTGCAGCTCACAGACCCTCAAAATCCACTGCTAGATTTTAACTTACAGCTCTTGTGCCAATCCATCTCCCTTAGCCTCCTGCACTAACACCTGTCAATTAAATGCAATTGTTTTATTTAATTGACATGGACACATAGACATTGTTAATTTTGTATAGCAGTTGTTTGAATTGCACATTGTTCCTTGGTGGATTTTGATTGGACTATGAGTTCCAGTGTTTAGAAACTATCTTGTGTTAAATAAAGACTGTATCTTACTATAGCCACATAGACGTATACTATCCTTCAACAAGATTAATTTTTGTTTGCAGTAAATGTCTGGGTTGAATTCTTAAAAGGCAAAAATTTGTAAATATAAGGGCATTTAAAAATTCTTCTGTTGATTTTTGTATTGAAATGGTTAAGCTTGTTTGTGTCAATTTTCTTGATTTGATGGTAACAAGCATTTTCCCCTTTTTTTCTCTTTCATTTCCCTCCCCTCTTTCTCCCTGGAATGTTGTCCTGCTTTGCACTGTGATTGCATGTCACGCGCTGGCAATGATGTCTCGGGCTTTTTGCTGTGATAAATACCATGCTCAATTATCCTACCACATGTCGCTCTGGTTCCCATACTGCTACACTCTTCTGTATGTTTGCTTATATGATTTTCCTTCCGAAAGTTCCCATGGTGCACGGTGCTACGCCAGCCACTGTGTCTGCAGCAACAACATCTGCCACAAGTGTTCCCTTCGCTGCAACAGCCACAGCCAACCAGGTTTGCTAATTTACAGCTTTGTTCCTTACAGACAACTTGAAATTGGTGCTTTTAATGAGCATGGGGGTTTTGATTTTACCTCTTGTTGGCCTACACATTCTCTCCAAGACCTGCAGCGCAGCTTAATAAGCCTTTATCCATGCTCAAAAGGTGCTGCAGTTCCATTTCTGATGCTAAAAATAATTGATAATAGAGTTTCTGACTCAGTCTTAACATTTATGGGCTGTGCTGCTTATTTCTGCTCTCAGAGATGTAAAGAGAAAGGGATAATACACGGAACCCATTATTTATTTCTATTTCTGTGAAGCCGACAGTTCCTTTTAGTGCAGAACTCCAGTGAAAGCCAATAAAACCTTTGTGCAAAGGGGTTGCAGGATCAGAATTTTAACAGTCGGAATTGAGCAGTCTGAACATGTTCTGACTCTCCTCTTCCAAGAGCAAAACAAAAACGTTTGAGCATGGGCCACACAGAAACTTCTTTCAAACCTTTGTTTCAGCTTGTGATTCTGCTAGGAAAGGGCCGATTACTTCTTGCAATAGACAGACGTCAGTTAAGAAAATGTCTGTTAGAGTCTGGGTTTATTTCTAAATAGCAACCCCGATTGTTGCCATGTTTGGATGTATTTCAGGAATAAAAGAATAATGCTGTACTAAATAAGTGATTAAAAGTCCTCTCCAGAATGCCAGAAACTATGCTACAAAGATAAGTACCAGGGGCCAGAGGAGCTGCACCTGAGAACAGAACGTGGCCTGTTGTTTTCATCTAGCTGGGTTGTCAAAAATGCAGATTTCTGTAGTACATCTGGTTGAAAGTGCAACAGTAAAAACTTTTAAAAGACCCTCTTCTTTCTCTTATAAAAACAAATTATTTGTTGAGATTTACTAGGAAGTTAGAATTGCCTTATGTCATGAAACCATAGTTCTGGTCTAATATTGTTGTGGTTTAACCCAGCAGGCAGCTAAACACCACTCAGCCGTTTGCTCGCTCCCCCCCTCCCCGCAGTGGGATGGGGGAGAGAATCGGGGAAAAAAAAAGTAAGATTTGTGGGTTGAGATAAAGACAGTTTAATAGGACAGAAAAGGAAGGGAAAATAATAATAATAATAATAATAATAATAATGTATTACTCTCGACTCAGTGGGAATCATACATATGCCTTTTAGAAAAGGGAACTAAAGATTTTCTTTAGCATTTTGCAGATGTGGTTCTGTATGTGAAATTAACTCTGAGTTTTTAAGGCAGGCTCACCTGGCACACTCGGCTCCCTAATTCATTAGAGCTAACCCCTTAAACAATTTCAAAATCCTATCATAAAGTTGTCAGGTTTGCGGCTGCAGTTGGGCGTTAAGCAGCAATACCCGTGCCCGTGCCCTGCTGCACCTGCACCTCTGTGCTTGGGGTGGATGGCACCAGCTCCTGCAGAGCCAGGAGCCCCTGGCCTTGCTGCAGTGCGCTGGGCGCTGCGCTGCCGCTGAGGGTACCAAGTGCTTCAGGCTCTCGCAGGATTAAGTCCAGAGTCTTTGGCTTTGAGCCTTTCCACCTTTGCCTATTGAGCACTACCATTTTGTACTACGCCCAGCTGTACGTTCTGTGTTAACCTGTCTGCTTACTGATCTCTCAAAAGTATTATTCCAAAAATGACGCTGTTGCAGTGATACATAGGCGTGCACATCCCGAGTCTCAAAAGGGACCTGGATATTTTACAATTCCAAAAAATACTTAGGTTAGTCTGCTTAGCAAGTAGCACTTTCTAGTCTTCAGAAGTGTTTGCTGAGTGACCATGTCACTGATGGATTTAAACCAGAATAAGAATTACTTTGTATTTTGAAAAGCTCGTTTATAGGTATGACTACCTCTGCATATATGTCACCTAAGCAAGCAACCACCTGTATGCCCAAAGTTTTTTAATATTGTAATTTATTGCACCATACAATTAATTTAAGCATCTCTATATCCTCTGTAAGTCCAGAGAGTTGTGAGAACAAGCCAAGCCACAGAAAAACAACATTATTTTTTAAAATAATCTCTCTGTCTAAATAACCATGCACTTTCCCAAATAGATTACAGGGAAACTTTCTGTTGTAGAATCTGATCATTTCATGCATATCCTCCCTGGAGCCTCATAACACACTTAGTAAAGTACTGCAGCCAAACCTCAATATATACATATATAACAAATATATGTATATACTATGTGAGCAATGCTGAAATTATTTAATGCCACACGATGCAATGTGCATGCATGCCAAAAGTCTTAAGATCTGGCCCTTCATCTTCACTGACGGGTGTTGAAGGTCCTTGGTATGTTCCGACAGCACTATCCCTGATGCTTCTACACAGTTGGGTGCAACAGCCTGTCCTGCAGCAGTAGAAAACAATGGTATGAGAAGCTTCATTATACTTGAAGCACATTTCTGTACAAGTTGGCAATGTTGTAGAGTTGTGTGGAGTTGTTAGGGGAGGAGAGGGCACAAGGGGTGGAACAACCGACACCGAGTCGTGTTAAACGATTTAGTTAAGAGGAAACCTCCCCATTCCCTTTCTTGTGCGGATTAACAGGTCAGCCTTAGTATCCACTAGGAAAAAAGAGTCTTTTCAAGTGCAACAGCCATTTGTGATGCTACAAATCAATTTTGTGTTGTATGCCCCAGCATGTTTCCCTGTACGTGGGCGCATCTATTTGCTCCTTCCAGCCAGACTTCTGGTCCTGTCTGTAATGCAAAGTTGCTCACAGTTCCTCCAACACCTGCATGCTTTAGGGCTGTCCCTTCTCAAGGGCCTGACCTGCGAGGTCTGTTTGGGCTCGCTCCCATGGACTTCAGCCTGTGCACTGCACACAGAGGGCTGCACCGCTGGGACCCAAGGGTGGGATGTAGAATATGTTTGTTATTTGTACTTTTGGTAATCTACTCTGATTTTAATTTTTTTTTTTTTTAAATGGGAAGCTGAGTTGATGGGCCACTTCAAGAGAGCCCCATAGTGAATTCTGTTTACGCAGACGAACATTTTGAGAATTGTTTCACTGCTTCGGGGAGTCTTAGCTTTTCAGCTGATCTACCGTGATGCCTGCAGTGGTTGTGGGAAGAGCAGGCAGCTCTTCTCGATGGTGGATTTTCACCAGCTGTGAAAATCCAGCTCAGGGCATCTTAGGTTTGGCATTCAAAAACCAAGACGGTGAAAGCAGTGAACACTTCACAAAATCGGACTGAAACAAGGCCACTGTAGAATTTATCATTTTAAATGATACACTGAAAGCACAGAATTTTGTGTAGGCCAACAAAAAGGGCTATTTTCAATTACTGCACTGCATGACTTTTGTAGATTTTAACTTCTCTTATTTCCTAAACAACCAATAATATTTATTTATATTTGTCAAGTACTACTTAACACAATGTTTTCCGGTTTTAAGTTGCTGTTGTAGCACTTCAGTTGACTTTAACTTATAGTTACAATATAAAATCCACCAACTCACAGCTGATCCTCACTTTTCCAAACTTATGTTCTATAGCAAAATGCTGTGTCTCTCGGTCAGCTCATTGCACATGTTATTCATTGTTTACATTTTTTACCTATAGATACCCATAATATCTGCCGAACATCTGACTAGCCACAAGTATGTTACACAGATGTAGACATTTTGTCATCAAACAGTAAGTTCCCATGCATTGTTGCTTGCAGTTTTCTTACCTATATGTGTGCATAATTTGTCTTTTTCAGGGACAGAATGTTTTTATTTTCTTTCTAAGAGAACTAGTAAGATATGGGGGAAGAGGCTCTGAACTCCACCGACATGCCATTCTTCTCTGAGTGGAGAATCCCGTAGTTAGCAGTGACCATGTTAGCTAGTGTGTTGGACCAGTTGACGGTATTAGTTTGTACATATAGAAGGGACATATTATACATATGGATAAACTTCTGAATAGCAAAATCAGAGAGTCTAAAGTTAGAATTTTACATTTTGTTCATAAAGGATGATGGCTCTAGCACTGATATGAGCCAGGTCTAGGGGGGAGGTGGTTATGTTAAGCTGTCTTTAGAAAGAACTAATTTTAAATCTCCAAATTTGGAAAGCCAGCATCTCTAAAGACAGGTTTAGTCATCTGCCCAGCTGAAGCCTGATTTCTCTTGAACGCAGGTTGTCAGATTATGATGCGTTATGTACAGTATTTTCCTGGCATGGGTGATAAGGCAAGGAGAGGTCCCACAGTGCAGGCGCAGTTCATACCTGCATTGTGTTGGTGTGAACGGCGATTGCAGACAGTGTATGTCAGCTTTTTATACTGTAACCTTTCACCCCATAAAGTTTGAAATCTAGGTTTGTGTGCCTAAGCTTGAGAGGTTTTTTCCCCTGTGTCTTCCTATGAGTAAACTGTAGTTTCCAGTCTGACAATTACCTGTTGTCATTAAGACCACCCGCAGCACATCACCTCCCCTAGGATAGCTTGTCATTTATATTACCTTTCTCTCCGTTGCACTCCATTTTTGCTGTGTTTTTTATTGAATGGCTCGGCCATAATGGAATTATTACTTAGGGTGAGGATTAACTGATTTGCCACAGTGGGTTTATAATAACAATTATTCCTTTCAGCTGAGCATAAACATTTTTACACTGCTTAAGTGACTCAGGTGGGATGCCTCTAGTCTGCAGCCTAAGTTCGCTACCAGGCTTCCCTCCGCAGTCAGCTGGGTCTGGGGTGTCCCCATTTTAGAGACCGTCCAGAGGTGGAGGAGGAATCACTCTCTAGAGGTGTGACAGGCAATAGAGACCAGAAAAATAGCTACACTAGATGAGCAGTTAAGTAAGAAAAATTACCTTGGGAACATAGGGCCCAGATTTCTAAGGATGTTTAGGTGCCTCTCAGATACTGGTTGGGCTCCCAGGTTTTACAGGGCAGCGGCAACAGGCCCTGGGAAGAGAGAGGCGCCCAGGGCTGCTGGGCAGTGCTCACACAGCACTTTGTGGGGAGCTGCCTCCCAGGGTCTGGGCTCTGGAGTCTGGAAACTGTCCCCCAAATTCTGATCCCACGGCTGGGGTCTCGGGAACAGCAGGAGGCCAGTGTATCGTGCACTTCTATTGCTGCAGAATTCAGGGGTAAAGTGAACCTCTGCTGCAAGAACGTTACTGAAGGGAAATCCCGCGGGGTTTGGGTGCAAGCTTCCCCGGTACTCGGTGGCAGATTTCCCTGTTGCAAATGCAAAGTTTGGGCTGATGTGGTGCTAACAAGAAGTTATGACTGTGTTGAAAATGCTTTATCTTTTTTCCTTTCTAGATCATAGCTAAAGAGAAAAGGACAGTGTGTTTGGGTTGAGAAGAGGACAAGCTCATTAGCCATAATGTATATACCGTCAAGCAACACTCGGAAACTCCCTCAGCAGTAAGACATCCACACATTGCATGTTAACGAGATGAAACAAGAACTTGGAAATCCACTGCACACTGTTGCCTATATACTTTGTACATTTAATTGATATTTGTGCTGAGGTGATCTTATTGTCTAAAAACTACAACATGGTCTATCTTTTCTAGCACAGAAGTATGCATATGGATTGGAATATGCATATGTAGTCTATTTCCTACATAATCATGTATGTCACCTTGAAAAGACAGACAATGATGTAACCATAAATCTATTATGTATTGGTACGTCTGTAGACCAAGATATAATTTTTTAAAGTAAGTTTATTTCTTTCAAGGTTTACAAATAACAAAGGTGCACCTTGTATTTAAAATTGCCATTATAGACGAGAGCGTGCATGCACAGTAATTTTTGTTTAAGAGTAATATTTTTAATGTAATAGATTGTAAGAAGTGGTAAGAGAGGTATCTGACAGAGATGAATGTGCCAAGCAAAACCACAACTGTGTATATTTTAAAGCACATCAATGGCTTTAAATACCATGTTGTTAAGGATTCTCATGAAGTGCCATAGACTGTACATCCGATTAGAGTATTATTTCTGCAGTGTTATTTTCAGAACCACGTTTTCACTTACTTTATTAGTACTAATCAGTCAAAGGGCACCATTCTGTTTCAAACCAAAGCTGTCTCAGAAATGGCCAACTATTCCTTACAGTAACAGTAGACAGCACAAGAAAGATACTCTAGCCGTACAAATTAACCCATACTGGACATATATATAAACTATTTTAAGGCATTGTAGTGTAATACATATGCATATTTTACTGTATAACATGATATACGAAAGGGAAAAGCCATTTCTGAGACACAGTAACAAACATTTGAGGAACTTTTGCTTCTATTTATAGCCTCTGTCGAAAGTCAAAAGGACTATAAATGTTTTGCAGAGATGGGTTTCACTTTTACTTCATCAAAGTCACGCTTTACATGGTGACTCTAAACAAAGACGAAAGAAGCACTGACATCAGATGCACGACAAACCAAAATATGAAAAAATGGAGATGTTAATTAGTGTAGAAATTGGGTGGGTTAAATACTTGGGTGAGTTTTATATGTGAATTTTTTTGTTCGGATTAACTGCTTATAGCCTTAGAAAGCCTTTACAAAATAAAAACAAAAAAATAGATGTGCATTCAAGTTTTAAGAATGGATTCATCCAAAGGAATTCCTTTTTGTGGTTTGGATGTTGCAGCTAGTAAAGGATATTTTTGCTCTGTTCAGCAAAGTGCTGAAGTGGGGGCCAGGTCACTGGTAGCGTAGCGTGGAGTGGAAGAAGCGCGAGTTCGGTTGTAGAACTCTCCATACTTCCAAGTTTACTGCGAGTTTTTATGCTTGAGAGAGATGCTTTATAGTATAAGAATGATGTGTTGATTTTACTGATTGTACTGTACATCTATTAAAGCCTTAGATTATTACATTACGGGTTAAAACCCATACCAATGTAATTTCAATCGTGTTAAGAAAGTATAGGTGACTTCACATGTTATTGTAGTTACTTAACATTATAGAATATTACTTATTTTTTTCTTGTTAAAAGTGTAGTTTTTATTTCTTACATTTATTAGATTGTTTTCATTTTCTATTACCAGTTGAATACCATTTCAGTTTATAGAATTTTGTTTTATTAGAGTTTACTGATGACTTTTTCAAAATACAAAAAAAAGTAGTTTTCTTCATAACATACTCAGTTTTGAATTTACATGTAGTGTCATATGAGTATTCGTATTATTGTTAACTAAATGATTTATATTTTACTGATTTAATATTACAATGTAAGAATGTCAGTCATTGTTAGTTCTTGTCTAGTTTTCATTAAAAGAACAAAGATCTTTTATATGGATATCTTATAATTATATAATCATTGCTAAGTAAGAAGTTAAGTTGTTGCTATCGCAACAATCCTGGCAGACAATTGAGTAATATTTTGATGATTTATTTTGTTTGTAATTAGTTATTATGAGAAAATCTAGTTCCTAGATATTAGAATAAAATTTATTTTCTACTGTATCCATTTCAAATGTTAAAATATTGTTTAAATATTTTTTGAAATCCCTGAATATCAGGCCTTGTTATAAATAAGCTGCATAATCAATAGATCAAGGGACTTTTTGTTGATAATCCAAATACTCAAAGTTTACGTAACAAGAATTATAGTGTGTGTGTGCAAACTCTTGAGGGTTGATTATGCTGCAGTTTAGCATGTGGGAACGTATAGAGAGAAGGTTGACTTTTTGCACTTCTGTATATAGTCAAAAAAGAGAGAAACCTGTATAATAGTAAGATCTTATTTTGAATAAAAATGTCTATAATTACAAGGAGTTTTGTTAAGGCTAATAAAATGACAGGCTGAACAAAATTGCTTGCAAAAGTGGCACAGAGTTAGCACTCCATACCCCTTCAAAAAAGTTGCTTTGCTTTATGTGGACAGCTTGTAGTTTGCCAGGATTTTTTCAGCTGGAAAGATATGCCATCCTTCCGAGATCTCATGACTGACAAAAGCTCCACTGGTTCAAATCTGCCTGAAAATCATTAATAAAAAAAAAAAGGAAAAAAAAAAAGGAAAAAAAAGCAGGTACTTCAAACCATCAAGGTGAAATCATGGATCAAATATTCCGTACATTATTCAAAACCTACTGCATGTTTAAAGTATCAAAAAACTATATTAAAGATATATGCTATTCAAACCAGTTTCTGACAATTTCAGTGGTTTATTGTTCACAAAAAAGATTCTTCAAAACAAATACTGACTTTCACAAAAGAGTTAAATCATGAACAGGCAAACCAAACAGCACACCGTAGCTGTAGTTGTTATGTGATTATTTTTTATTGCTGTAGTGGTCCTGTTCTTTTAGCAGGTGAAAAAAAAAACCCTGGGAGATTTTACCGTTTTAATGGAAAGCGTTCAAGAAACCTTGTCATTATATATGCCAAAGCTGGGAAGAGAAAGTGATTAGGCCATTACTGCTATCTGATCTCTCCAGTACTCACACTGAATAATTAATGAAGTTGCACTTATTTGCAACCCCGCAACTTTTCATCTGCTGAAAGGACAGATGTGCTTGGTTTTACTATTATGTAATCACAGACTTACTTTTTGCTTGTAGTTGCTCCAAATTATGTACTCTGTCCTGGGCTGCAATTTGTTTTTATGCTTATTTTATTATTACTGCTATAGTTGACCTTGCTGTATGGAAAAAATAAAGTGAAATTGCCCTAATAAAATTCTCTTTCTTAATTATGTTTTTCTATATCTATCAGGTTAAAAATTGCACCGCTTTCTTTTGTACGCATTTTTCATTTTATCTGCATGTTTGTTTGACTGAAGGGATATAATTGATTTGTGGGGGAAAACCTCTATGCCGGTATTGGGGGGTTTTTTCTTCAACGGTGCATAGTATGTTAAATATACAGGATATATATTAAGAATGCTAAGTATACACGCTATTATTGTTAAATCCAGAGGATACGTATAAAGCAACAGGATACCATAGATGCAGACCAAGCTGTTATTACCCTCTTGTGGCTGTACTTCCAAGGTACGGGTAAAAGAAAGGGACCCTCGACATCTGCCTGCCCCCGGTTTTCGTGCCCGCAGCAGGCAAATGGGGGTGCAGCGAGGCGGCGACTGACGTTAGAGGGAGCCCCATTTCCACGCGTTACTGTCGCTTGATCAGTCTCGCACAAATCACTCTGATAATCAAAATTATTGACCGAAAAACCACAGGCTTAGTTCGGAAAAGGAAACACATGGGAACACTTGTTTTCCACGCGGGTTTCGGGTGTCTCCGGTGTTTGTTAGCGCAGCCTGAGGGACCTCACAGAAGAGCTCGCGTTTCAAAGGCCGCTTTTATTTACTTCATTTCTCAGCTCGGCGCATCAGGATGCCTCAATCCTGTCTGCTGAACACCCGGCTCATTTGCACCGCGTCTGCATCAATACTGGCGATGACACCAGCATTTTAATTTGTCATTGCATTTAGCTGCCAAGTTAAAAAATAATGCGCCGAGCAGCGCGAATGTTCTAAATTAGCAAAAACCCACGACTTTATTTTCCTCTCTAACCAATGAAGGCGGCCACGGAGGTTCCCACGGTTAATCGGGCAGCTCCGACAGCTGCTACCGGTTAGCGCTGCCGCGACCGAAGTCGGGCGGGCGGCTGCTCGGCGGCGCTGCCCCCGGGTCGCCAGCCCGGCGGGAGGTCG